TGAGATGAGTTCTTTGTGGTTGATACGAAGGTATGAGAATGCGATGTCATGGTTACTGGTTTATTTTACAGATATGGTGCGTGGTAGTGACCGCTACAGATTTATTATCTTTAAGTTTCCCATGGAAGGTATTAATCTAATTACAATAGTAGGATGTATGTCAAACTTCATCATCTATTTCGTCATGTCAACCAAAATGAGGAATGAAATCATTCTGCTCCTCAAGAAAATGTGTAACTATTGTGCATATAAGAGAGAATCGAATCAGATAAAGGACACGACAAATAGTCGTACAGACGAAATGGAAATGAACCAAATAGACATAATAGGAAACAAACATGTATACGAGGTAGAAAGGAACTGGACACACATGATGGGAAACGATTGTACATATTCGATTGGAATTGATCCGACTCAAGAAACAAGAGACTGTACAAAAGAGATAGAGAGGAAGCAGATATTAGAAACAGGAGATCAATGTGCGAAAGAGTTAGAGAGAAACCAAATGCAAGGAACAGGAGATCCCTGTGCGAAAGAGATAGAAAGGAACCAAATACAAGGAACAGGAGATCACTGTACAAAAGAGATAGAAAGGAACCAAATACAAGGAACAGGAGATCACTGTACAAAAGAGATAGAAAGGAACCAAATACAAGGAACAGGAGATCACTGTACAAAAGAGATAGAAAGGAACCAAATACTAGGAACAGGAGATCACTGTACAAAAGAGATAGAAAGGAACCAAATACAAGGAATAGGAGATCACCGTACGAAAGAGATAGAAAGGATCCAAATACAAGGAACAGGAGATCAACGTACAAAAGAGATAGAAATGAACCAAATACAAGGAACAGGAGATCACTGTACAAAAGAGATAGAAAGGAACCAAATACAAGGAATAGGAGATCACCGTACGAAAGAGATAGAAAGGAACCAAATACAAGGAATAGGAGATCACCGTACGAAAAAGATAGAGAAGAATCCGATACAATGAACAGGAAGGACCACAGTGTATATACAATGAATTGAATCAGGTATACGGAAAAGGACACCGCTGTGCTCATGAAATTGAAATTTACCCGATAGAAACGAAAAACACCGTACAAATTAGATACACGAAATCCGATAAAAGGAACACAAATCTACGTAGAAATGAGATACTAGTAAAAAGAATCACATATAAGGAACAAAAATCACCATACAAATGACATAAAGGATTCACATAAAAGGAACAATAACCACTGTACAAATAACATAAAAGGAATCACATAAAAGGATCAATAACCACTATACAAATAACATAAAAGGAACAATAACTACCGTACAAATAACATAAAAGGATCAATAACCACTGTGCAAATAACATATAAGGAATCACATAAAAGGATCAATAACCACTGTACAAATAACATAAAAGGAACAATAACTACCGTACAAATAACATAAAAGGAATCACATAAAAGGATCAATGACCACTGTGCAAATAACATAAAAGGAATCACATAAAAGGAACAATAACCACTGTACAAATAACATAAAAGGAACAATAACTACCGTACAACTAACATAAAAGGAATCACATAAAAGGATCAATAACCACTGGGCAAATAACATAAAAGGAATCACATTAAAGGAACAATAACCACCGTACAAATAAAATAAAAGGAACAATAACCACTTTACAAATAACATAAAAGGAATCACATAAAAAGATCAATAACCACGGAGCAAATGACATAAAAGGAATCACATAAAAGGATCATGAGTACTGTACAAATAACATAAAAGGAATCACATAAAAGGATCAAAAACCACTGTGCAAATGACATAAAAGGAATCACATAAAAGGATCAATAACCACGGTGCAAATGAAACAAAAGGAGTCACATAAAAGGAGCAATAACCACGGTCCAAATGACATAAAAGGAATCAATAACCACTGTGCAAATGACACACAAGGATCAATAACCACTGTGCAAATAACATAAAAGGAATCACATAAAAGGAACAATAACCACTGTATAAATAACATAAAAGGAACAATAACTACCGTACAAATAATTTAAAAAGAATCACATAAAAGGATCAATAACCACTGTACAAATGACATAAAAGGAATCACATTAAAGGATCAATAACCACGGTACAAATAACACAAAAGGAATCACACAAAAGGATCAATAACCACTGTGCAAATGACATAAAAGGAATCACATAAAAGGAACAATAACCACTGTGCAAATTACATAAAAGGAATCACATAAAAGGATCAATAACCACTGTGCAAATGACATAAAAGGAATCATATAAAAGGATCAATAACCATGGTGCAAATGACACAAAAGGGGTCACATAAAAGGAGCAATAACCACGGTCCAAATGACATAAAAGGAATCAATAACCACTGTGCAAATGACACACAAAGATCAATAACCACTGTGCAAATGACACAAAAGAAATCACTTAAAAGGATCAATAACCACTGTGCAAATGACATAAATGGATCAATAACCACTTTGCAAATGACACACAAGGATCAATAACCACGGTGCAAATGACACAAAAGAAATCACTTAAAAGGATCAATAACCACTGTGCAAATGACAAAAAAGGAACAATAACCACTGTGCAAATGACATAAAAGGATCAATAACCATTGTGCAAATGCATAAAAGGAATCACATAAAAGGATCAATAAACACTTTGCAAATGACACAAAAGGAATCACATAAAATGATCAATAACCCCCGTGCAAATGAGGTACAAGTAAAAGGAATCACATATAAGGAACAAAAACCACAATAGAAATGGCATAAAGGATTCCCATTAAAGGAACAAAAACCACCGTACAAATATCATAAAAGGATCAATAACCACTGTGTAAATGACACAAAAGGAATTACATAAAAGGATCAATAACCAGTTTACAAATGACATAAAAGTAATCACATAAAAGGATCAATAACCACTGTGAAAATGACACAAAGGGGTCAATAACCACTGTGCAAATGACACAAAAGGAATCACATAAAAGGATCAATACAAACTGCAAATGACATAAAAGAATCAATAACATCTTTGAAAATGACACAAAAGGAATCTCATAAAAGGATCAATAACCACTGTGCAAATGACATAAAAAGAATCACATAAAAGGATCAATAACCACGGTGCAAATGACACAAAAGGAATCACATCAATGGATCAATAGCCACTGTCGAATGACATAAAAGGAATCTTATAAAAGGATCAATAACCACGGTGCAAATAACACAAAAGGATCAATAACCACTGTGCAAATGACATAAAAGGAACAATAACCACTTTGCAAATGACACAAAAGGAATCACATTAAAGGAGACTATCAAATGGAATAGAATTGTATGAAATCGCTGGAAGGATCAGGAAACAATTGTATAAATGAGATTGAAACTAATTAGACAGAAGGAATAGAATACAATTGTACAAGTGAGGTATAAAAGAATCGGAAACAAAGTAACCACAAATTAAGTAAAACCTTTACCAAATTATTTCATAGATACAAAGATTTGGTTAAAAAGTTTGACTGTACTTGTAAGGTTCTTATTAAAAACGGGATATCACATCCTAATTTCTAAGGCGATGTTGTTTATAAAGCCCGTAAATTTAGACACGATCCATGTAAACTAATTGATCCTTTGAATAAACTTATATATAAAAAGGTTATCAATTCAACACAGTAGTAAAATATATTTACAAATATTGTTTTTATCGGTACTAACATTGATATTGTTTTTGAAAAATTAAAACTTAACTAATGTATATTGCTATATATGAACAGTTATGCAAACTCATGAGCCTACATCCTGTCGATACTGTTTACATATATTTTGGCATTGCTCAAGGTATTGCGTTACTCAGACTGTCCGTGACCTCTATACACTAAACCTGTTGGGTGTGTTCTGATTGATACTTTAGTCTGGGAGAACAAGATTTATTTATTAGTTGTAATGGGCTTTGAAATAGCTTTCAGTAACTGCATGTACTCTTATTTCGGTGCTTTGTGTCTATTGTTTTTGTGTTAGCGTTTTTTGTGTCTCGTGCCGATCATTTGAGTTAAGCCAATTGCAACTGATGTTTACAGTTTGCTGTTACACCACTGCACCAGGTTAGGGGAGGGTTGAGCGCTCACAAGCATGTTTAACCCCGCCACATTCTGTATGTGCTTGTCCTAAGTCAGGAACCTTTAATTCATTGGTTGTCTTTGGTTCATGTCTGTCATATTTGTTTTTCGTAAATTGTTTTGTTATAAATTAGGTCGTTAGTTTTCTAGTTTGAATTGTTTCACATTTTTCAATTCGGGACCTTTTATACCCGATTGTACAAAATGAAGCAAACAAGATTCTTTTCTGAAAAAGTATTGATATCAAAGTTTTGAAAGGCTCAATGCACAAAAATCATTTGCACCGCGTAAAACCCAAAACAACACCATCAAGGGTCAATTTCACAAGTGAAACTGAAAACAAAGTGTTTTTCTAATTCCTGGAAAAAACGAGACAGATACATACTTAAAAAAAGAAGAAAATTAATATACAAAATGAGAAAAGATATAACATTCAGTGGATTTTCAAGGAATTAAACTTTAACTAACTTAGACATTTGTAATCTTTTTTACATTGAAATATTCCATGTAATATCTGTTGTGCCTTTTATTCTAGAAATATCCGGTTGCAAGCTATTTTCCAACAAATGGATTTGAGACTCAGTCTCGAAGAAAATTTTCCAATGTTGGAATTGCATTTTATACAATAAAAGCGCTTGATAGCGAATACCTATCATTTGTAGCCAGTAACGGATGGACTCATGATTATCATACTGAATTTAAAGAAAATTTTACAGAAGACGTGTAGGCTTTAAAAAATAAGTATGTGAAATGAAAATCATGTCGTAAATATTTATTTTGACATTGTCCATTTAAATTTCAAAAGAATCTTATTTAAATGTTGTCCCTCGTGTTTGTAGTCCTTTTAAAATATCTTGTATTGATCTTTATCAATCAGAGTTGAATCGATTTGTTATGTTTGAGTGGTTACCTGTCGTTACAATCACTTCCGGTTACACCTGAGGCAGACGACAGGTAAGCATATATGTATTGTCATTTAATGCATGTAGTTAATTAATAAATCAGTCATGTTAATAACATGTTCATTGATGATAATATTTTTCATTGATTTATACACAAACATCGTACTTAGTAAATTTGTTATCCATAAACGACCAAACATCTTAGACTATTAACTTAGTACACAAAGTTTACAAAAGTATGAATTTTTCGAAATACTAAGGATTTTCTTATCCCAGGCATAGATTACCTTAGCCGTATTTGGCACAACTTTTTGAAATTTTGGGTCATCAATGCTCTTCAACTTTGTACTTGTTTGGCTTTACAACTATTTTGATCTGAGCGTCACTGATGAGTCTTGTGTAGACGAAACGCGCGTCTGGCGTATTAAATTATAATCCTGGTACCTTTGATAACTATTTAGTAAATTGTTATGTACATTAACGAGTAAGGTATATATTGTATACTTTGTGAGATGGATTTTATTGCAATTTTTGTAATTTTGTTTACAATATGTTTGTATAAGCACCTAACTCTATGGAAATTTTGTGTAATTTTTTAAAAGGTATGGACAGGGAATTGCACTGCTATTGTATAAAGAGGCTATATTTTAATTTAATTATATAGATAAGAAGGAACTTCGATATTAACTTCAATACGTAGCCTAGATTTGCTCGCTATAAAACATTTACCAACTGCATATCATTGCCATGGATCATTGTATAACCTGATGAGATCAGATATTCCATAACTGTTTAGTTTTGTATCAAAAGACGGACTTAGATGTGACGTAAGCAACGCGACCCCTGAAATCAGCAATTGTTAAGTACGTTAGTCGGATTTTTATCAATAATATTCAAAATATGCCACCGTGAAATGTTCACCAAATTCAAATCCGGGATCCGCCCCGCACATTATAGATACTCGATATTTTTTCAATTTAAATATCTTCTTGAGAAATAAAGTAACACGATTATATGTAATAACTGATATTATGTATACATCTACACATTAGACTGTTTATACATCTCTGTTGTGCAAAAGATACAACTGGAAGAGCAAACATAAAACTTGCAACAAATTGTCAGAAATGTAAAGTTAAATTCATACTGTAAAGCATTAAATTCAAGAACACGCATATAAATACATATATGAGATATATTAGCATTACATTCAAGAGCTTGACAAATAGGAATAAAAAATAAATAGATTTGAATATATACATATAAAAGCAATTAGAACTAAGCGTCCCGACTCCTTCCTCTAAATACTTTATATGGGAATCTGTTTTTTTGCTTGGTTTAGATTTATGGGATTTAGCAGAACCACTCGGAATTTTTCAATATCAGTAAGATTTGGAAATAGAAATATAGGATTCTCTTTCGTAATAATATAAAAACGATTTATACGTTATTTTTTTGTTATCTTGGCTGTACAGTAAAAAGTGTTTAGACACGTTCTTTTGTTTTGAGTCGATCACTATTTCTTATTTTTTCAAATAAGCGTTTGGTTGTAAAATTTGGACATCTTAGATAACCATAATGCAACGTTAACAGGTTCTGTTGCGGAAACTGGCAAAGATTCGAAACACAGGCAGTGACGACTGCATGCTTACCTGTCCATAGAACACAAACCCATTGGAGGAATTTACTCAAGAGACTGGTAAAACGATTACAAACAATGACTTTCAGTAATATGGAATTTTATTTTCACTTTCAAATAAAGGGTGGTGTCAGTTCGAAAGGCTACTAAACTTAAGTCAACAAATTATAAAGTAAGATAATGTTTACAGGTTGTCAAAGTATTAAGATTATGTAACAATAAAACTGACAAAGTTTTCAAAACTTAAGAGTAACAATAGATGATGATTGAATAATGGATTATGCATGTCCTGGACAAGAACTGATTAAAACGGATATTGAAAAGATTGTCACGATATGATGAAACGTTTACGAATTTAAGCAAGAAATGAACTGGCTTGAGTAAATTAGCATAATCCCTGTAAAGTTTGTTTTCATACATAGAAACAGTTCGTGAATCACTAAATCATAGATAAAATGAAATTTAAGAAAGTTATTCAAAACACAACGACCGTTGAACTCTAAATCAAACTTTCAGAAAAAATTAAGCATACATAATAAAAATATCTTTGAAAGAAATAAACTAAAAGTCCCCATGTCCAATATCGGAAAAACACAGATTTGAATGAATTCATCTTCAAAAATTATCCGTTTTATTTTCGTGTCCTATGGCCGATTTAATTGGTATAATTGCATCATATATGAGACAGTTTAATAAATATATAACACAAATCGTAGCATTTCAGATTTATATCTCGTGTCAATGAGAAATTTAGCTCTTGATTCATGTGCGTTCCACTTTAAAAATTCAGAATTTCTCACATTGATACGAGAACATTTATGTTGGTTGAAAATAGGTTATTAGCAGCAATAAAAAAAAAACAAACAAATATGTATATTCTCATGATCTGTAAAATTAAAAGTACATAGGTGCCTTTGAACTTGTTAATACGGAATTGGTCTTTTGATAAAAAGTTACAAATATACAATTTTACACCTTTTTTTTTATTAAAGGCCTGTCTATAACCAGTGGTTACCAACAGTTAGTTGTCTATCTTATAAATCATTTCAACATATCTTGATGAATTATTTGCAGGATGAGAAAAGTTGCAGTAGTTACGGGTGCGAACAGGGGCATTGGTCTCGCCATCGTACGCCAGCTATGTAAAAAATTCAGCGGTGACGTATATTTAACAAGCAGAATGGCAGACAATGGTAAAAAGGCTGTAGACAGATTGAAACAGGAAGGTCTTAATCCTATATTCCATGAACTTGACGTCTCACAGCCAGACAGTATTCGCATGTTTGAGGAGTTCATTACCCAACAATACGGCGGAATAGACATACTTATTAACAACGCTGGTATCAGTTTTGGAAAGGATAAAGTCCCAGTTTTTAGACAAGCACAACTGTGCTACGAAGTTGATTTCATGGGAACTTTAAACATGTGTAAAATATTTCTTCCCCTGTTACGGCCGCATGCCAGAATTGTAAATCTTACAAACAGTTACATCGGAAAGAAAAGTGCACTCGGTGAACATGCGCAGAATAAATTGGACGTTTCAACAATGTCACTGTCAGATTTGTGGCTAATTATGGACTTTTATATAAAAGCTGCAAAGACAGGAACGCATGCAAATGGTGGGTGGCCAGAATCCCCTAAGCAAATGACAAAAACTTTAATAGTTGCAATGACAAAAATTTTATCACGTGATTTAAAAGGCGACCCAAGAAAAAATATACTCATCAATGCTTGTTGTCCGGGATGGACTGACACCGATGGTAGTGTGGAGTTTTTGGGTGGGGTCTGCCAGGATACTGGCTTACAGACAGCCGACCAAGCCGCATCCGGTGTCGTCTGGGTGGCATCGATACGACCAGGACAAAGTTCTCCAAACGGCGGAGTGGTACAAAAACAAGAAGTTATATCTTGCGACTTTTAGTGCAAAAGTGTCACACGGTAACTACACTAAATGGATTTAGCCATAGTTTGCAGTTGTTAAGAAATCGCACGAAAAGATCGGTTATGATTATTAATGAGTAGTTAAAAATTGTGTAATATAATGATAAGAAAGAGAACATGTGTTAACGAAAAAAAATGTGAACTTTAGAAACATTTTAAGCCCAGGGTCACACGATGTACGCTGCAGTTATTTGTATTGACCCATTAACAGAACTTTAGTTTAAGCTATCATAGATTATTATCAAGTGTACTACACTCTGTACGAAATGATTTAATAGAAAACACTACGAAAACCATGGTTTTCTTCTTTTTTTGTTTTAAATAAGTGCACACAATTAAAATGTTATGTTAATTCCCCAAAAAAATGTGAACCCGTCCACCAGACGTTTGGACAATAGATATTGTAGAGATATGGAGGTAGATTCAATATCATTTTGTACAAAATCACAAAGAAAGCCTTAACTATATCAGTTAATTTGATAGTTTACTTATATAATTAAATAGACTGAAATATTTAGTGTTTATTTAAACAAATAGATGTCGACTACATGAATGGAGTAAAGTAAATATAAACTATTGTAACCAATATAGAACGGCATACACTGAATGAAGCATCTGTTCGCAAACCCAGATATAAACCCATTTGCTCCAGTCTATTGCGTTAACGTATATAAGTATGTAAGATATGCATGTTTCAGGTTTTTCTTATAAAATGGCAATTTCTGAAAGTCTACTCTATGCTCAAAAACTATTTCTTCAAGGTTAAAAGAAAGACGACTTATATTATCCCTTCACATACTGAATAGGTTGATTGCTACAGTGACGTGGATTCATTTATTTTCGTGAACACTAACTTTCGTGGATTAGGGAAAAATACGTATTTCATGGCTATTTGATTTCGTGGTTTTGTCAGATTCGCCATACAAACCTTTCGAAAATTTGTACTTTGGTGATCATTCAATTTGTAGTTCACGAATACCCACGAAATCCATGAAAATTGTTATACCACGAATAATGATGGATCCACAGTATCGGAGTTGTTAGTGTACATGATTCGTAAAGTTTGTTCATTTATGTCTTTCCAAGTTTGTTCGTACACCTGTCGTGTTTGTCCGTACATCTGTCGTGTTTACAACTGTCGGATTTGTCCGTACACCTGTCGCGTCTGTCTTTTCACCTGTCATGTTTGTCCGTACATCTGTTGGATTGTCTGTTTTCATATTTTTAACGTACCTTCGTCGTCATTTGGTCCGATTCTGGTGGAGAGTGGTCTCATTGGCAATCATACCACATCTTCTTATTTTTATACTGTCGTGTTTGTCCGTACATCTGTTGGATTTGTCTGTAAAGCTGTCGCGTTTGTCCGTATACCTGTTGGATTTGTCTCTACACCTGTTGCGTTTGTCTGATCAACTGTTGGATTGTCCGCACACCTTTCGCGTTTGTCCGTACACCTGTCGTCTTTGTCCGTACATCTTTCGCGTTTGTCCGTAAACCTGTCGTGTTTGTCGACACAGCTATTTTGTTGCTTTTATTTGTTTTTCTTCATACACTTTCCTCTAGATTTCACTACATGTACATGGTAAAACAAAAATTTACACTCTTTTTACTAACTTGTAGTGATACTTTCATATGAAAAGACGTGTAGAAACAAATTAAGTAATATTTGTTTTGTAACACAAAAAAAAGACCCATATACAGTGTATTTAAAATACATTTATCTTTTGTGCTACGAGACATGAGATTCTTTAAAAGAAACTACTCCTTTTCTGAAAATAGACTAACTGTCTGTTCAAATACACATGAAGATATGAAGCAGATAATTGTTTTCCATGAAAGATAAAAGGAATTATAGGTAGCAACTTTTTTTGCCCTAACATTCAAAGGCACCGGTACAATTCGGTTAGATACTCTATATATTTGTAATTGTCATACAGTTTGGAGGCTTATTAAACAACATAGAACAAAAATACAAAAAAATGTATTCTGTGAATGTAACTTTTGCGAACGTGATCATGATGATAACTCAATGATAACAAAAAGAGGTATGAATAATTCCGTATAACAAACTGTGATTTCAGACATTAAAACAGACGGTATCAATAAACAGATAGACTCTTTGTGAATTCATTGTCAATTGGTATTATTAATAAAAACTTTTGCAACTACTTATAAATATATGCAACCAATATGATAAGACATTCAGGCGCATTAAAAAGACAAGAAAGACAGAAAGAGTTTTTTAAATAAAAAGCACGGAACACAGCATGGATTTCGTCAAAACAGCGACCTCTATCGTCAACGTTCGTCATCTGGCATACATGTAAACATCTCAATCTACAAATAACAGTGATACAAACAAAAAAGATACAATGGAAAAAAATGGGATCTCTCGTCAGTAGTAGTCTTCTTTTATGTTTTTGTTATTTTGAGAGTTTGGTGAGGATGGCAGTCCTTTGGTAGTTTCTGTTTGAAGTCTCAACTTTCTGTGTAGACAACTGTCTATTGTTGAAGTCTTAACTTTTTGTGTAGACAACTGTCTATTGTTGAAGTCTTAACTTTCTGTGTAGACAACTGTCTATTGTTGAAGTCTTAACTTTCTGTGTAGACAACTGTCTATTGTTGAAGTCTTAACTTATTGTGTAGACAACTGTCTATTGTTGAAGTCTTAACTTTTTGTGTAGACACCTGTCTATTGTTGAAGTCTTAACTTTTTGTGTAGACAACTGTCTATTGTTGAAGTCTTAACTTATTGTGTAGACAACTGTCTATTGTTGAAGTCTTAACTTTTTGTGTAGACACCTGTCTATTGTTGAAGTCTTAACTTTTTGTGTAGACAACTGTCTATTGTTGAAGTCTTAACTTTTTGTGTAGACAACTGTCTATTGTTGAAGTCTCAACTTTTTGTGTAGACACCTGTCTATTGTTGAAGTCTTAACTTTTTGTGAAGACAACTGTCTATTGTTGAAGTCTTAACTTTTTGTGTAGACAACTGTCTATTATTGAAGTCTTAACTTATTGTGTAGACACCTGTCTATTGTTGAAGTCTTAACTTTTTGTGTAGACAACTGTCTATTGTTGAAGTCTTAACTTTTTGTGTAGACAACTGTCTATTGTTGAAGTCTCAACTTTTTGTGTAGACAACTGTCTATTGTTGAAGTCTCAACTTTTTGTGTAGACAACTGTCTATTGTTGCTTTTTTGTGAAGACAACTGTCTATTGTTGAAATCTTAACTTTTTGTGTAGACAACTGTCTATTGTTGAAGTCTCAACTTTTTGTGTAGACACCTGTCTTATTGTTGAAGTCTTGATTTTTTGTGTAGACACCTGTCTATTGTTGAAGTCTTAACTTTTTGTGTAGACAACTGTCTATTGTTGAAGTCTTAACTTTTTGTGTAGACAACTGTCTATTGTTGAAGTCTTAACTTTTTGTGTAGACACCTGTCTATTGTTGAAGTCTTAACTTTTTGTGTAGACAACTGTCTATTGTTGAAGTCTCAACTTTTTATGTAGACAACTGTCTATTGTTGCTTTTTTGTGAAGACAACTGTCTATTGTTGAAGTCTTAACTTTTTGTGTAGACAACTGTCTATTGTTGAAGTCTTAACTTATTGTGTAGACAACTGTCTATTGTTGAAGTCTTAACTTTTTGTGTAGACACCTGTCTATTGTTGAAGTCTTAACTTTTTGTGTAGACAACTGTCTATTGTTGCTTTTTTATGAAGACAACTGTCTATTGTTGAAGTCTTAACTTTTTGTGTAGACAACTGTCTATTGTTGAAGTCTCAACTTTTTGTGTAGACAACTGTCTATTGTTGCTTTTTGTGTAGACAACTGTCTATTGTTGAAGTCTTAACTTTTTGTGTAGACAACTGTCTATTGTTGAAGTCTTAACTTATTGTGTAGACAACTGTCTATTGTTGAAGTCTCAACTTTTTGTGTAGACAACTGTCTATTGTTGAAGTCTCAACTTTTTGTGTAGACAACTGTCTATTGTTGCTTTTTTATGAAGACAACTGTCTATTGTTGAAGTCTTAACTTTTTGTGTAGACAACTGTCTATTGTTGAAGTCTCAACTTTTTGTGTAGACAACTGTCTATTGTTGCTTTTTGTGTAGACAACTGTCTATTGTTGAAGTCTGTATGTTGTCCTCTAGATGCCTTTATTGTAATCTTTGTCGTCAGGTCGCTGTCTCATTATTGTATACCATTTACCTCTATTGTATCTTTACAGTAGTATTGCAGCTTTTATTTCTGTGGTAAATAGTATGACCGAATCAACAGAATATTTCAAGTGTCTTTCGAGTTTTAATTTTGATATTGTGTATTTTAGTGCTTTTTGTAGTTAGCTGTTTCTTTTGTTTAACGTGATCTATTGTTCTTTAAATTGACTAATTATCTAGCTGATATTAGCGTGGGTATAACACAGTTACAAAATTAGTATTACCATACATAGCACATAAGTCATTAACCTAAGCTACTGTGGCTCTTTTCACAAAAAAAACTTTAGGAATTGTAAGTCATACACATTTCAGTATAACTTACGATTAATTTTAATCGAAAAAAAATTTTGTGAAAAGAGTCGCAGGTTGTTTGTGTGATGTATGTACGATGTTTGGTCATCTCTGTTATATTGATTACAGGAACCATTTTGAAATTGTGATACGACAAATTTGAGAACTTTAACAGGACTATTAGATGTGCTTGTGTTTGTTGCCTTTGGATGACAGTCTGGTTTATCTATACATATGATTCTTTGAATCTTTGTTAAACATTAACAGAAGATAAACAATGAAATGATGAAAATACGTACGTTATCCATTTCTCCTTCAAAGTCATCCATTTCTTCTCCATGACCTATCTGCAGTGCGCACGCTCGTCTTTCTATTGGACCTACAGTAAAAATTACACACAAGGAAAAAAAATAATTCAAATTCAATAAAGTCTGCTTAATATCCGGACTCACATCTGGCTATTATCAATGAGGTCCAATTATTATCAAAAAGATTAAAAAAGTTGAACTAATCCCTTCGAAAATTCACTTGCAATGAGCAATAAGAAGGGTGTCACTTGTGGAGAAGGCACAATTTACCTTTCTGAAGCACCCGAGTTTACCCAAAGATATTGGCGAGGTTCATGTTACACATCCTTTTGTTTTATGTGTAATGCTCTGAGGACTGTTTTTGTCGTCTTTCTATTTGCCATTTTGTTGTTGTGTTTTTCTATTTGCCATTTTGTTGTCTGTTTTTCTATTTGCCATTTTGTTATCTGTTTTTCTATTTGCCATTTTGTTGTCTGTTTTTCTCCGACTTCTGACTTTTGATTCTCTCCTCGGTATTTTTTATGTTTGTTCTTCTGTTGATAAACGTATCAGGTCAAGGTAAAACAGACATTGGGGTCAAAAACTCCATCGTGTCCAATGAAGATGGAACTTATTATCTACATTGGGGTCAAAAACTGCATCGCGTTCAATGAAGATGAAACTTATTATCTACATTGGGGTCAAAAACTGCATCGTGTTCAATGAAGATGAAACTTATTATCTTATAAATTATTTAGACAAATAAAAACAAAATCCTCTATGGTAAATATTCTTATTTTCCAATCTGATTAACATCTATATCTTGTCTCTACCCTTCGCTTACAAACGTGCTGTTCTACTTTCTGTTTTGGTCATTATTACATCAGCCAATGAAATTCCTGCCTACATAATTTGGAAAGGGTCTATCATTACGTCAAAACCAGAGGATCCCGAAATGTCTTTAAAACATTACTTTCTGTTTTGGTCATTATCATATCAGCCAATGAAATTCCTGCCTACATAATTTGGAAAGGGTGTATCATTACGACAAAACCAGAGGATCCCGAAAGGTCTTTAAAACAGAATGTAGAACGGGTTGCTTGTTTCCATTTCCATTTCTTATAATTAGTATTCTGAAGAAAAAATATCCTGATATAGATAGCCAATGAAAATAATATATTTAGCTTTATTGATGTTGATGTCAACTCTTGTATGGTTTCTGTTTAATTTATTCACAACTTTTATAGATTCGAGACGATCTAAAGCTTGATACATTGTATAAACACATATTTAGAATTGACCTCAGTATGTTTCTCACTATATATGATAGAAAACATTAAACACAAATCTCTTTTACAGAATGCTTTACCTGAACCATCAAGGAACTTTGAATATTTTACTTTATTTACTTCTCCTTCTAATTTTCCATCGGAATATTTATAAACGATGTCCTTCCAGTCATCACCCTATAAAACAGAGAAGACATTTGCACACATACGTAACAGTAATAACTAGAAATGATTATAATTATACATGTATCTACATGATGCCATAAACGACTATGGTTAAAAAAAGGGGGAGTCCGATACGGGATTTTAATTGGATAATATCTTATAGACTTCGGGGAGTTAAAAATTGATATAGGATTCTAAGTGTAACCAGCCATTCAAGAACAAGTTCGAGCTAACGTTGGTAAGAGTTCGAATTATTGTTCGAGATAGAGGGGAAGTTCGTGTTAAAGTCAAAGCTTGATTTGAAATTTAAGTTACAGTTTGAGTAACACTTGCGGTACATTTTGAGTTAAACTTGAATTTAGAATCATTATCATTTTGAAGTCTATGGTTTTATCAAAGTAGTGTTGATTAACTAATTGTTTTGTTTTTGCTGTCCATTACACTGATATAACTTACTGGTGTAGGAATTTCAAAACTAGTATACTGTCCACCATCTGCCTGCGCACCAAATATTATTGCGTCTTCTTCTTTAGCCACTAACAAAGAAGCATTGTTTCCACAATCACCATTACTAACGATAGCTTGTGGACGTGTTGATCTTTTGTCGAGCTTCTTCCTACGTGTGTCTTTAATGCGCAGACGTAGAACAACAGTGCCACCTAGATCAACATTGGATAGTTGTGGAACACGGAGTAAGCTTTTACCATCAAACTTAGCAATACCATTCTTGACGTCGACATTCTGGTTCACAACATAAACAGGATTTTTTGCCTCTTCAAATGATTTTCCAAAATCTAATTTTACTTTAGATTTACATCCTCCTAAATACAAATTACAAGTATTACAAGAATATTAAGTCCCCGGTGGTATCTGGTCAGTACTCAGCGATTCAGTACACTGACATGAATTACAATTTTTCGTTGATACATGAGGAACTTTGAAGAAACTAAGGTGCCAACTTCTTCACTTTAGATGGATTTGGCTATTCTATTTAGACCCCCTTTTGTTTAAACATATTTTATTTGCAAAAAAAAACTCACAAAAAGGATTAGACACAAGTTAGTCCAACTTAGATCGTCTTCTCCTAAGATACAATATTAGACAATAGAATTTCATAGCATGCAAATATCAAATTTATTATTACACAATATATAATCAAACATCTGTAATTTGAATGACATATTAAGAAACAGTATAGAAAAAGGGAAAGATAGGAAGAAGGGAAAAAAATATGCATGTGTGTGTGTGGATCACTACATTCAGATTATACACATGATTAAACAAGGAACCTTTTGGTCAATTTTATATAATCAAAAACATTGCTACATATTTCTTCATTTTGCTCATTTGTCAGATGTTAAAATCTCTAGATCCAAAACAAGGTCATCTGGTAACCAACTAAGACTATTCCTAAGAATGTGACGTAAATTTGTATATAAAGGACATTTAAAGAAGAAATGATTAGAATCATCGCGGGGGAATCCACAGCGACAAGATGGATCTGATACAATATTTATTTGAAAGAGATCATAATTAAGGAATGTAGCTGAACATCTTAATTGCGTTAAAATAATATTGAGGTTTCTTGGACCAAATGCATAGTAACTAGGCACCGTTTTATTACCTACTGTAGAACTCTTTTTTAATTTATTTTTAAATTTTGATAAAGTTTCTGTTTTTCGCACGGATATGTCCAATCTATTCCATTGCCTAATAGTTGATGAGATAAACGAGTCACTACTTATCGAAAGTCTACAAAAAGGTAACATAATATCTTCACCATTTCTTAAAGGATATGTAGTTGTACTTTGTATCGATGGCGGAATCAATTCACAGAGATAATAAGGGGCTTTTCCGTTGTACGCGTTGTAAAGCATTTGCAGTTTTCTTCTTCTTCGACGGTCTTGAAGAGATTCCCATACAATTTCTTTATAAATATTATTTTTATTTGTAAAAATTGGCAATCTTGTTACAATTCTTGCAGCTTCAAGTTGCAATTTTTCTAGTTTGTTAGTATTACAAATTCCACAGTTATCCCAAACTTCACTCGCATATTCAAAAATCGGTCGTATATATACTAAGTATAATGTTTCAAAGTTTGACCTGCTAAGTTTGTATTTTAGCTTACGTAATGTATTTATATATTTTGATACACTAAGTACAATGCTATCGATGTGCGTATTCCATTTTGCATCGTTAATAAGTGTAAC